ACAAAAGAGTCACTCCTTTTGTTCCATTGCCAAAAATTGCTAAATGCATCAAAAGGCCATTTACGACTTCAATGTATCTGAGTGATGGTAAAGTCCTTCATCCAAAATTCATAATAGGCATGCCATGATTGACACTACAGCGCCATCATCAGTGGGATCTTTCATTTGCTCACCCAATCTCCCTATTAGTATAAGCCTGGTTGAAATATTTTTCACTGTATCAGTAATGTTTCGTGTTCATGAAAGAAATGAAGCAGAATTTGCCGCTTTAAATGATAACTCAATCCTATTGTCAGAAAAACTCACACCAGACCAAATATCCGCTGTGATTTATGATTCAACTGCAACTGCAAATCTGCTTCAGAATGACCTACTATTACCAAAGCATATTAGCAACTGGTTAGATGAGGTAATCCTAACAAAGAGGACTCCTCCTAGGGTACATCAAATATATGAGTCATTGGAACCTTTCACAGATGAACAATATGAACAAAAGGAAGCGTCATCTTCAATGTCAGTACAATGTTCTGTAGACATTCACTCTCCACCTCCTCTACCACCTAGACGAAGCATGATTCTGTCACCTCCACCCCCTCTATCGCCTCCACCACCTCCATCACCTCCATCACCTCTGATGAGTTCAGTAGAAGTTCCCACTCTAAGCAACTGTGCTTATGGTCTAACAAAATGGCAAGAAAGTCCAGGTAAGTCAGTAATCATCATAATCAATTCTTGTGAAACTGAATTTAAATTTTATCATTGCAATACATGCAGCTACTGAACCAAAGCAACTGGATAGCAAAATAGGGCAGTATTTTGATACAAATAAGAGGTTATTAGCAGATTATAATGCTTTGAAGGTATGACTCCTATTAACATGCTCACTATATTTCATATTTATAATAGATGGGAGAGTTTCTTGGTCTAATGGGATTAAAGCAGTATTCTGCTACATTTTCACATGAATCAGTTGATGGGAAATTATTCTTTGAATTAGATGATGTAATGCTTGAAGAGGATCTTGGTGTTACCAGCAGACTACATCGTTTAAGAATGATGAGAATTATCAAAGGAGAACAACATGTGAATGATTTTCTAACTATATAACTAAACTGTACGTTAGCTAAATTAATTAGGAACCTAAAAATTATATTTGACATTAACTATTTTTATGCTGCTCAAAACAAACTTTGGTCCATGTATATCCATGGTACACTATACATTCATTTTATAGCTAGATGCTATTTTCAGCTTGGTAGTATTAATAGGGAGATGCTGCTGCCTTTGCAGATAGAAAAAGACTAGAACACAATATTGCTTGTGTGATACCATTGGGCAGAATTGATTGTTCAATGTCAGTTTAAAGCATACTCTCATACAAGTTAATAAATGTGTTGATACACACTTAAGTAAAGTATTAGTAGTAAACGAGTCACATGACATCTTTTTGATTAAAATTTTGAATTCTCAATTCCATGGAATATAAATACAAGCTATGTGATGTGTAAACACAAAATTGTTTTATTCTGTTGTTTTGGCTGTAATAATATCCTTATATATACTGTATTCATATCCTACTGTTCTTCAGACCATGCATAAATTGCTATCAAAGGGTACAGCTGACCTTTTATAGCTAGATGTTTACACATAGTAATAAATGAAATTGCCAATAAATGTTAGCAAACACAATTGGCAAAAGCTCAATTTTTATGGTCCTCTTCAATTTTATGTATACTGTTGTTTCATTAATTGAACAAAATCCTTGTATTGATGCAATACAGTTATGTCATTCCAAGTAAATAAAGATGTTAAAACACATTAAGTGCTATGCTGTATAGATGGTAATTTTTAAAAGGGGAATTTTCGTGTTTTCATGAGTTATATAATAGATGCTACATGTAGGCTATGTTTAAATATTGGTATGATGTTTTAACTAGCTGCTATTTAGTGCTAGGCAAATTGTAATAGCTGGTACATGCACCAGTACAACAATCCAACTGCTTAGTACCTGCCTACGCAAGCATAGTGAGTCAAATGACTTAAAATATTCAATTTTCCTGTGACTCAAAGTCACTAAAAACATTTTTAGATTCTGGAATTGTTACAATTATTATTTTTATTACAATTACAACAACTGGATGCATGTACATGTAACTTGATAGTCTATTTGAGTAAAGCTTAAAATATGAGCATAATTGGATTCATTTCAAAGCACAATAGTGAATAGTGTGGAATTTGGGACAGTGCCTATAAGCAGCATGCATAATTTGAATAGCCCTACTATGCATAAACTATACCTTTTTGGTAAATGCTCAACCCTGTTGTTTGATAAATTGTTTACATTGTGTACTCAGCCGAGAGCTCTCAGAACACATCAATAAAAGTAAAACAATAAAAAAATTAAATGATGTCAAAAATTACAAAAATAGCTCTGTAACAGTAAATGCATGTAGGTAGCTTGGTATAATAGCAGCAAATAAAATTAGCTAAAACATAACTTCCTCATAATTATGATGATCATGAATGGAGACAGTTGCCATGCACAAAGTAGAAAAATATGTGTGAAATTGATTACTACCTATAAGTGATATAACTAGTAATGGTACAGTGTAGTACAAAGAGTTTTCAAATTGATTTGAAGTCTACATTAAAAATTAAATAATAAACATATTAACTTCATAATATGACTCACATTGGCATTTGAAGTACCACCAGCTACTAATAAATATTAAAGAACCTGCTTTATTATGAATTCAAATAAGTAAAACTTATACCTTTACAACTAACTCTATCATCAGACAATACCTCATCAGATAAACACTCACAGTGAAATGAGCCAATTGCATTGACACATTTGCGACTACAATTATTGGTACCAGTAGAACACTCATCAACATCTAGAGAGCAACAATGCTCAGTATGTAATAAATTAAATATCTACCTGCACAGAAAGAGTTGTGTCTTAGATTAAAGCTAGTATTACAGGAACAAATAATAGCTTCCAAATGTATTTGTACACAACTGCTGACAACCACCATTTGTATTATTGCATTCATCAATATCTATTATTACATTGTTATCTAAATATAAGTATATAATCACTACTTTGGCATTGGTTATTTCTTTTGATGTGTCATGCAAATTATATGAGCAATAATTCAAAAAATACCTTACAATGGTTTATTTTGAGTGAAGTATTTTTGTAAAATTTCTATTTGCCAAACATTCATAAGAATAATAAATAAATGAATATTTCATGCCATAAATTTTTGTGAACAAAGGCTGCATCACAAAATTTGCATAAATATTTCACCTTGACAATGAACGAGTGAATGGCTACATTCTATACCAGTGTAGTTCATATTGTTAGCATCCAATGTGTATCCACTGAGACAAGAGCACCAATAACTCCCATTGCTATTGATACATAGCTGTTCACAGCTTCCGCTATTAATCACACACTTATCAATATTTTAATTCTAAACAATATTGTTATAATTAAATTATCAACTACCGTATAACGCTTTAATTTGGCGGAGTTTTATTTTGGCGATTGGTGGTTCGCAAGCAAAATCACCAATATTAAAACCGCCAATCATTAATACGCATGCTCGGTAATGCACGTGTACACAAAAATTGCCAAATTAAAAACCCCCGATTACAATTTTACCTCAAAATCGCCAAAATAAAGTGCCGCCAAAATAAAGCGCTATACGGTAATACCTTCACAAGACATTAGTGTGTCCATCAGTATTCAAAGAGTAACCAGATTCACAAGTACAGTAATAGCTACCAGCTGTATTGATACAATAATATCAAGAGTACATGCCCATCATATACTCTTGATAATCATAGTATGCACACCCACCATTGGATATTAAACATTCATCAACATCTATAGAGCACAATGAAATAATTTAATCAGATCGTTATCAACTATTAACAAATTACCAGTGCAGTTATATTTATCAGTGGTCAAAGAGTAACCAGTGTGACAAGAACAATAGAAGCTACCAATTATGTTGTTACATAAATCAGAGCAGCCTCCATTCAATGTACTCTTGCACTCATTGATATCTGAATTAATAAACACTTATTTTGCATTATTATTCTCATTTTTACCTTGATTTACTATGCCCATGCATCATTGCTCAAAATAAACCCAGCATAACAAATACAATTATAACTTCCAAGTGTATTAAAGCATGACTGGCTATATACAATTTTACAATTCCTCAGAACATTCATTTACATCTAACACAGAATAGTTGTAACTTATGATAGTTTCAGAAGAAAACTTTCCAGCTACAACATTGACCCTATGCCAGGGTGTACCGAAACTCTGGGCAGCAGAAGGATTGACTGGTTTTACTATGATGAGTTTTTTTACAAATATGTCCTTGAGACAAGCAGTACAATTAGCAGTGACATTTACTTCAGGCTACATTGCTGGGGTGTTTTGTACACTAGTTAGTCATCCTTTTGATACTGTTGTCTCTAAACTCAATTCTGATGTTGGTAGCTCTCCTTGGCAGACCTTCAAGAGTCTCGGCTTCAGTGGAATGTGGAAGGGTTTGGATCCTCGTATTGCCATGGTGGGTACTCTGACAGCTGCTCAGTGGTTTGTGTATGATACTTATAAGATATATATGAGGATTTTTAGACCACCACCTCCTATAATACCAGAAAGCTTCAGAAAGAAGCAAGAAATCTAAATAATTATGCTAGTTATTTTATTATTGCATCATGTAATTTTTATTTCAATTCTTTATTAGCACAATAATTATTGTTATTATTAATTTTTTACTTAATATGACAAGTAGATACCGGTATAATATGTCACCATTTAATCAACCATACATCAATCCATGTTATTATTGATACCAGGAGCCCATGAAAGAAAAAGGGAAGGGTAGGAGCGCGAAACACCCACGCATTTAATTAAAATTACTGTAGCCTGCATATCCTAATGAGTTCACTATTTTTAGAACAAGTAAACCACACCCGTTTAATAAAATGGCTACCAGTGTGAAGGTTGCTCTGAAAAAGAAGCTG